GTTTCTTTCTCTCTTTCAACGGTGTTACATAGTTCCGCATTGTTGAACCGCAAAGCTGTTATGACATGAAAAATGTTATATGGGATTTAACCCACAATCCGTTTTGCTTGTTGCAATAGATATTTGTAGTAGTGGACATTCTCGTGTTTTCATTTCTCAATTTTAAATTTTAATTTAAACAGTGATGTATTGTATAGAATATTTGCAACGATTATATAATTGTGTTCTTATTTTCATTTGACAGAAAAGCTTCGCAATTTTTGTGTGGACTTAATGTGTCAAGTTGTTGTCGCTCGCGGTTGTCGCTCTCATTTATTAATAAAATGAAGGGAATAAAATTACATCATTATGTAAATTATTTATGAATAAAAGGACATTATGGCCCAATTGTGACTCGTCCGTCATACAGGTGCAATTAATGATATTCATTACGAACTAACAGGCTCACTAATTTGACAATTGATGCGAAAACCAGAATATGTACTGTAGAGTGAAACACAGTTGACATCTTAATTATCGGAGATGAATTATGATCGATGTAAGGATAGTATTCATGCAACATCAATCATCAGGAAACGAATAATTTCTCGCATTTAATTAAAACTCGGTACTTCAAATAAAATAATTTTATTTGACTTTAATTCTATCTCACTATTTAAAATATGGACTCAACGCATAAATGTATAAATATAAGTTTGTAAAGTAATAATGAAAGCTTGTGTATTACAGTCATTTCGGTACAATAAAACGTACATATAAATTTAGTTTTTTTTTGTTATTTTATTTGCAATTTTTATTGCTTTAGCGACTAAAGCAATAAAATTGCGAATAAAAGGTAACAAATTAATAACAAAAAAGCACTAAATTTATATGTATGTTTTATTCAACTGTATTGTAACTGTACAGTGCGAGTTTAATAAACATTCGGTTAATGTGTCTGATATATCATTCTTCATTTCACGCATTATCGAAAAGCACTGAAATCCAAACAGACCCGGTAATTGTTACCGTAAAAGAACTGGAACCAATAGTTGGATTTAGCCTCGGATCGAAATTTTTCGGTCCAAATCTCTAATATAAAATGCGATGATATTACGAATATAGAAATCTCATACGAATGATATGCTCCATCTGCAGTGTGAATCTTTTTTGGTACAAATGAAATCTCACTCAAATTTCTCCAAAATGGAGAGTGAAGTTCGACTTTCTTTTCTATAATATTTATTTAAAACTATTTAAAAAAACTATTTAGTTAAAAAACTATTTAGTGAGGTAATAAAGAGTTTAATGTAATGTAATAAAGATACTGAAAGGTAATCCTAAATTTTTTCACATTTTTTGAAAGCTTATATTAGAATAGTAAAAAAAACTTGACTGGAGGATTAAGAATATTTTGCAATTAAACACATAAATGCCATAATCGAGATCGAGCGGTAAGTGATAAACGGAATGCAACAAGTAACTCACTCATTGATCGATGGGTCGCCATCACCTCATTCCTTTCAGCTTCTGGGTATGTCTTTCCTTCCTTCTGTGTAGATATATAGCAAACGGGTGGGGCGATCGACTATTGCACAATTCGACATTCCCGACTCGTTCATTCACGACATTCATTTTCAACAGGTAAAAAGACGAGAAATTACGAAAAGTAAAAAGAATTCGCACTCGTGCAACAAGGCTAATGTCCGTTTTCAAATATAGATTAATCTCGGTTCAACCGAGACCTTAATCTCCATCTTTTTCTAATTCTAAAGCTCGATTCCACCAATGTAAGTTCAACTTTAATCTCGGTTTAACTTCCTTTTTTTTTTCTAATTTTAAGAAAAAAATAAACATTAAATTGAACCGAGATTAATTTTATATTAATAGAACCCCGGACCTCAGAATTAGAAAAAGATGAAGAGTAAGTAAGTTGAATCGAGATTAAAGTTAGTCTATACATTGCAGCATTGGTGAAAATCATAATTACTTGAAGTCCTATTCCGTAATTTTTAACGATAGTATCGATGTTGTTACCTTATCATTGCGTAGATTTTATATTACATAGTAAAAAAGTTATTCAACGACAGTATCAAAACTCGTCGTTAACACTACATCTTAACACTTTTCAAGGAAAAAAAAATCGCGTCGCAGACAAAATACAAGGCTTGAGCATCACTTCCCTTCCTTCTTTTAAAATTTCAATTAGATCTTTACGTCAATCAAAACTGGAAACAACAATTGGAAACGTTTTCAGGCAAGCGACGGATGTTACGGACTGACGCGCGACTGAATGCGGTGCATTTCGTAATACTGAATATTCTGCGTACATATAATAATGGACGTTCCGAAGCAATCACCCGTTATTCGATTCAAAACTTTCAATCCTCATTAGCACGCGATAATCACTTCCGACAGAATAGAAAAGACGCGAGAAGAATTGATTGCGAAGCATAAATTATCTCATGGGAATAGCTCATCGGCTACTTCAGTACGTGCATTTTTCGAGAAGAAAAACTAGCGGCGATGTAAAAGCAAGCGAGCTTCGAGCACTACTTTTGAAATCTTTATAGCGACGAAATAAAAGATAAATAGACGGACCGAGACGATCATCCATCGTAGCATGCGATATTCACCTCCGACAGATTCGAGACACTAAAAGATATAAGATTTTGAAACGTAAAGCGGTCTCTAGACAATCATATTATTGCACAATATTTGATATTGTACATTATATTGAGTTTATATTGAGTATTTAAAAAGTTTTGTATTCTTTAAAGGAGTATCATAATATTATAATAAAAATAATATTAAACTAAAATAGTTATACAATAATATTGAGCATTTAAAGGTCGCTTAATTTTTAATAAGTCGATATCGAATAGAAATATTTACTATGAATATATTCATCAATGTAAAAACTATTTATATTTATCCTAAATGAATAAGCGTTATCGAATATATCGAATTTGATTAATTCAAACAAAATCTATTTATGACGATATTCATTATTCATATATTTGATATATATATAATGCTTATTCATTCAGATTAAATATAAATAGTTTTTTAATTGATAATAAATATATTCATAGTTGATATTTCTATTCGATATCGACAACTCTAACCATTAATACACATAACGTAAATAAAACAGAAGTATTACTTTTAAAATTGTGTGACCAATCTGTATAACGATGGAATGGAATATATAAATTATTTTCGATTTTCTTGCTTGATAATTTGACTCAGCTCGATTTTGTTGCTCTAAATCTTTGAAAACTACTACTAGCTATTCTATGCCAGCATAACATCTTAAACTTACCAATTCAATGAAAATCTCAATAGATTATATTGCAACAAAATTGAGTTAAATCAGAATATCAAGTCATAAAATCAAGATTATATTGTCTTATAAATTAATTACAATTTGTTGTAATTTTATTGTTAAATTTATAACATATTAAAAAAATATATAAAATATAAAAATTAAAAATATGACCTCTCTCATCATGAAAAATATCCATATTATATCTGCCTTTATTCGTTCTCGAATGTTGAATAATACAGATCATACTTTATACGCAACAGGTTTCAAGCTCTGTAATCGCGTTATAAGTGCTAATTTTTTATCATTTGATTTATTTTTCGTGGAAACAGGCGGATTGAAAGTTCAGCTGATGCTGCGGTGCACGGCGTCGAATGAGAATTTACACGAGTTGTACGTCCTCGTAAACAGAAATGTCGCGAAGTCATGGATATGCATGTCACACCACATTCGTTAAGCTAGTAGTTGCATTCAGAATATCAGTCATAGTCTCTCAAAACATGATATAAAGACGATGAACACTTGCTCGGCATGTACATAATTTACAATAACAAATTTCTATGAAACACACCCACACACTCTCCCTTCTTCTCTCAAGATTTCACTACTTTGTTTTGGCAAATCACAAATCTTATTTATTTAATGTTGTCCTTTCAATGAAACAAATATGTTTCCACATACTTTTTACAACAAATGATAACAGACATGCAGGTCAATATGACTCAGTATCTAATACAATTTTTTAGAACGGCTACTCGAACGAAGTTGTTGAACGGCAGCAGACTCCAATTTCTTCTTCCAAAATGATTGGTCGAGTTTCGACTTTCGAGTGCGTCTTCTCATCGAGATCCAATGAAACCGTAACAAGATGTGGAGTAGAAAGTACTCGTGTTGTAAAAGTTGGATCGGGAAGTCCCTACTTCCTCGTAACTTGCTGTCCTGCATCTAAACGAAGACTCTCGAAATTTTTTCCATGCATTCAAGTTTGCTCCGGTCTCTACTCGCTTTAAATAAATTGCTCGTTATAACGGGTTGAGTCTTCTTCTCGCTTATTTTAGAAATACAATACCATTCGCAACTCAAACAATGTGAGACGCTTTTTTCGCAATGATAATTATATCGTTTGCAATCGATCATCATGTTCGAGTGATAAACTTTATCGTTATCAATATTCCGTTGACATTGATTCTATAAGCTGTTTTTAACAGGTTTTGAATTCAATTTGAACGTAGAAGTTTTCAATATCAATATATAATTTACTTCACACAATATATAATTTACAATATATTATTCTAAGAATTAATAATTAATACACTTAAAAAATGTAAATGTTAATAAATATTTATTTGAATGCTACTACTTTAATATTTATTACATGTATATAAATAAATTTTCGGTACAAAAATTAATTTCATTTACGTAATTATTTTTTTTTATTGAATATATTATATGTTTATTTTCCTGTAGATGTCAAATTATTGAAGGAAATGTGTATTAAGATTTAAATTAAATAGTAAATTTGTTTTCAGCGTACAATATATATTTTTATTACAATATTTATTGCGTTCTCCAACGATGAATTCTTTCTTTTTAATTTCGAGACATGTATTTTATATAATGAATTATTGAATATTATATAACGCGATTAGTTTAAAATGTTCATATCGAAATTTGAACGATCCTTTACTTTTAGTGCGATTCTGGAGTGGCTGTGGACAGATTCTTTCACGCGTTGTATTCAACGAGGAAGAAACACTTGATGCCGTTCCTGCTCGGTACAGCTTGTTCCGAAGTCACCGAGACTCTGGCCAAAATTGTTCCTTATTGGAACGTGATCCAGGTATCATTTGGCTCGACGGCACCAGCACTCTCAGATTCCAACGAGTTCCCCCTATTTTTGCGAACCGTTGCACCGGATTCGAGTCACAATCCAGCCAGGATAGCATTGATCAAACACTTTGGATGGGACACCGTCACCGCGCTTTCGCAAACAGGCGACATGTACTCCTTGGTAAGTAGGTCGTAAGGAACGTCGCGCAAATCGACTTTGCGAATTTATTGAAGCGACTTCCTGTCACTTTAATAGTCCGCACCGGAAATAATTTGATCGCAATATTGATGGGTGTTATGCAATTTTTCTTCGAGATTGTATTCAAAGTATTTTATTAAAATTTTTTCTCAGATTAATATGCTACTATATAACATTATTGGTATACAGTTCAATTTGAAATTCGAGAGCTACAATGCTAAAATGAGCTAAATTTGGGATCGCTCTTTTCATACAAATTGCATAATGCGTAATGCGAAAATATAAGCGTAGAAATGTAAGCGTAGAATTTACACGCCTATTTAAATGATACAATTTTCTAATTTCACATTCTCTCGAATAAATGAAGTATGAAATGAATGCGAATATGAATATTATCGAAATTCACAGAGATTATTTGAAAAATTATGTTTGATAATGGATTGGAAATCGACTCTTTCATAAAGAACGCGTGGTATTCAAATTGCAGTTGACGTTAATCGCAATTGAAATTTGCACCAAAAAATATCCACTTATAAATCCAATATTTCCTGCAATCACTGCTTTTACCGTAATATCGAGATCAGATGAAGTGGAATCCGAAACACGGAGGAAATGTATGCGATAACACGGTCGCGAGGACATTTTCCATCGTTTATATTTGTCTCTGTCTCGCTTTACGTAACCGCGTGTTTAATTGCAAACTACACCGCGGAAGTTCGTTTATGCCCGGCGTGACGTGCGAGCTATACAATGAAGTTCCCGTTATGTCGGCTTTAATTAACTTTCGATTTGTACTCACGCGTAGTTAACTAGAGCGCCGCCCGTTCGGTATCACGTTTCGGTTAATTCTCGGTCAATTTCCGTCGCTACACTGGTAACGGAAGCTACCACACGTCACATCCGGTTTTAATATAGTCTAGGAATATATATATATATATGTGAATATATATATATATATATATATGTGACGAATGGACCCAAGGGCGTCGCAATATCAGGATTTCGAAACAAGCAAGGCAAAACAATAAACTGACAATTTATGTAACAATATAATTCTTTTTACTGTTGTGCGAGTAAGAAAAGTTAGGATAAAGCGAAGTAATTTGAATATAGGTCAACAGAAATTTTTTCAAATCGTATTAAAGTTGCACAGTGTATTCAATCGAACATACAAATACATACATTATTGCATCAAATAGTATGTTTTGTATGTTTTATTGAATACACTACACGACCTTGTTCTATACAATTAAAAAATTTCTGTTAATCCATCTAAATTACTCCATTTTTATCTTACATTGACCCAAAATTAACAATAAATGTTTTAAAGATAGATTCTTTTTTTAACATTTTAAGACAAAAGATTTTAATAACGAAAAAGATTTTAATAACGAAAATAACGAGGCTCCAATGATAGAATTTTTTAAATGGGTAGAGTTTAGAAATTACTGACAGAACTAGAATTTCGCGCATTCAGGGATGTGAACATGTTTCTTCAAACTTTTCATGCCTTTGATGCCAATAACAAAATTTAGTACTTTTACTGCACTGATTTGTATCTGAGCGCATAAAATTCTAGCCCTCATAAATAATTTTGAAATTCTTTCTATTTAAAAATCATCATACCTCGACATTTTCACAGATCTTTTAAAATATCACAAAGAATCTGTCTTTAAAATATGTTCAACGTCAGTTTTAGGACATCCTGTATTTATTTTTTTCCCCGATATATTCATTCACAATTTAAAAATTGAATTCCCTCTTTGAAAAGAAGTTTGATTCGATAAATTTCTAATAAAGCGCGAGCAACGTATGTCATCTATCTCGAAATTGATGTAAAAGCGTTTGCGGAAATTCTGCGGAAATCGACGTGTCAGTTTACATCCGCGTCTCGTTAAAATTCATATTGTTCCCAAACTAGCTTAAACCACTTTCAAAATAAACGCTCATATCCGAACGCGCACACGTACGAGCGATTCGGGAAACACCGTATTCCTGCGGTTCGCTCCATCGTGAAGCATGTACTGTAATGATAAGAGAATTGTGAATGTCACCAATAAAATTACGTGACGTAAGCGACGCGCTTGCCGAGAAGAAACCGGCCGCGGAACGAATGTAACTACGCGGCGCGGAGGCAATCCTTTTTGGATAACGGAACTTCTGTCGCGTCACCATGACGTACGACGCGTATTTGTAAGGGTGACATACGCGATTCTTGTTTTGCGCAAATAGAACGGGAGACAAACGAACGGCACATTGCCATTTCTCGCTGCCGCCGTTACGCTTGGCTCCCCAGCGCGCACTTCCACACGTCGCACGTATGACGCGTCTCTGTTCCAGGCAGTGAATGATCTGGTCACGGAACTGGAACAGGCGAATATCACGTGCACCGCAACTATCACATTCGCCGAGAACGATTACAAGGAACAGCTACGAACCTTAAAGGTAAAAAGTCGCGCTTAAATGTCAACTTGTTTTCTCATCTTCATTCTAAATTTCTTATAGTGAAATCTCCAAGAAAGCGAAAATACAATCACTCTTAAAAAAAAAATGAAAATATTTCACTTCTTGACAATTTTTTTTTTTAGAGTTCACTTCAAAGGAGTGAAATCTCACTCCAAAGAAAGTGAGATTTCATTCTAAAAAGAGAAAAGCGTCACTTTTTTTAAGAAGTGAAATATCACTTCACTTTTTCTAGGATGGTTGCATTTTCATTCTTTTGGAGTGAGATTTCACTTTTTTAAGAAATTTAGTAGAGTGTTCGTCCGTCTTTATGAGATCTTGTAGCGATCATTTGGTGCAATTAAATCAAACTGATCAATTCGATCAATCAACCAACTTCACTTGATGATGCGAAAATCTTTCGTTTTTCACGTAATTCGCTTGCTTTGAAATTCGAAGTCCGTTTTCATGAAATGAACGTCAATCGATTGGAAGCGCAATGTAGATGCATCGGGATTATACTTGCAGCGTACGATGTGTGCGAATTAACTCATTATCTGATCAAATGATTCGGACGTACCTTAAAGATAACTGGGAAAATGTCGTTTGTTAATATTTAGCAAAAAGCTCGGTATAAAAATTAAATTTAGATTAATGTGAATGGCGACGCGATAAAATTTTCAACTCGTAATCATCACTATCTCTTTTGCTTCATTAGTATCATTTATCGCATTTTATATGTATTAGTGATGCTTCGTCAAATGGAAACCTTTTTTAATAAAAGATACACGTATCGCCATTCCAGGAATTGGACACTAGGATCATTATTGGAAGTTTTTCACCGCAATTGGCGCAACGTGTCTTCTGTGAGGTGAGTTACGAGAAAAAGCAAATTTAAATCTCAATGAGAAATTATTTTTAGACATTTTTGTAATTATCATAAAATAAGCTTTATTCAAATAAGAGGAATAAAACTTGCAGCCATTTTTCGCGAGTACCTACCGCCGTGATAAAGAACAGCTACGACCACATCCTTATGGACTAATTAATGACGCTTTTAATAACTCCCATTACAGTCCGTGTAATTTCAACAAAGTTAGGTCGCCGTTTCAACTACTCATTCATTTTTGAAACTCCCACCGGTTCAGTTGAAAACCCTTGCTAACAAGAAGAAACAATTTTGTGGTTGTTCCACGTTTGCCGGTTCGAGTTTAGAACAGTAGCAGTTTTTGCCAAAGTAGAAGAAACGCGAGAGAACGTAAACAGATAAACTCTGGTCTTGTTTTATTTGTAAGAAATTCACGCGTTTTGTTGCATGCTCCATGACTGTAAAATTCGTTTAAAAGTTTAACTTTCACAGCGCTCATACTTTTAAATGTCATTACCAATTATCTCGATTAATTATCTCGTAGCAACGTTATCTACTTTATCTCTTTTATAATTCCTGTTGCTAAAGATACATATAGAATAAAATTTTCTCTTTCAAAATACGTTCCCAAATGAAATTCTCTTAAAATCTGATAACGATGTACTGACATTTAAATTACACAATCTGACAAACCGTAAGAGATAAATATACATGTCCACTCGGACTCGTTTGATCATTCAGCGCGTTATTGAACACGGAAATTGGAAATGCTTTCATGTCAAGTATTATAAAAACAGCACAATATATTTTATGGAAAAGTAATGCACAATTATTATACAAATCAAATTTTATGGCTACTTAATGATAAGGATTCATTCCCATACTCATTTCTATCAATGTAAATCAACAATACCTTTCGAATTTCACAAGAGGAAAGCATTCTGCCAATCCCTTGCAGTGTTTTCGGATTTTGCGAGCGCTTGCGAACGTAGAAGCGGTGCAATAGTGATATTTCTTCACAAACGTTTACAAAACTGAGATGAAAAAAATCCGAAACATTTTTATGCTACATTTCATGACGTTATAAAATTTTCAACGAGACTCTATATACGAAAAAGAAAATGTTTTTGGCTACAGCTAATTCTGATTAACTGAAATTATATTAGCTGGTACAGCTATGAAATTTGCTAATATTTACAGAGGATTTGCTGTAGTTAATATAAAGAGGTGATAGCAAAGTATGCATGTCTATTACAGATCGATTTATTTAGCAATATGAAGTTAATTGTCATAATTATCGAATATGTCCGTGTAAAAGAAAATTGTTTCTACCACAGCTAAATATGATTTGCTGAAACTGTACTTGCTACCAAATTGTCTGCTACATAGAAAACGTTTGCTGCAATGATCAATACATCGATATGATAGCAAAATGCTTGTCTGTTACAATGATAATATTTAGGTCTCACAGTTAATGAGAATTAGACCTCGCAGACACGACATTAGGTGTTCATATAATAGCTACTGAATTAGTTGCCAAACCTAATTTTTAACTTTTAAATTTTTGTTTGACAGCTGATCTTTTTTTCCGTGTACGCTTACCATCGAGCTTATAAAGTACCAAGTTTCTTGATTTTTATATGAATATTCTTCGAATTCTTTGAAGAGGAATCTCATCTTTAAGAATGAAAATCGAGCCAATTTGAAAAAAGAGATGAATTTTCTATTTTTAAGAACGAGATTTCATTCTTCAGAGTAAGATTCATTGTAAAAGTTTTAGAGAGTATATATATATATATATATATATCCCCGTATTAATACGTAATATAGCAATTCTTTTTCCTATTGCTTGTTAAATTGACACTAGAACCACAGTTGTGCCATTTTTTACTCATCTGATAATTCTTCTTTTTTAGTTAATTTAGATTTGCACGTGGAGTTATATATATATTTTTTTATGACTTTTTATGAACTAACTATGATTAATTACAAGCAATTTTACTTTTATGGTGACAACTCTCCCTCGCAAAAAGTTAGATTTATCTTGAATCACGATTGGGTTAATTTAAACCCGATTTTAATGTCAAAGCTTTGCTGTTACGTATGTATAAAGAAAATATAGAAAGAAAGAAATATATAGAAAGTATATAGAAAGAAAATATCAAACGTATCAGATAATCAGACAGATATTCATCAAGTCAGTAATATCGTGTAAGTACAAGCACGTGATACCAAAGTAGGACACGAAGTTTACACTCTCCCTTTGTAAATTGAGGCCGAACCGACCGCAGAAGCTTTCGGAGTCTTGTTTGTTGTGCGAATTTTGAAGTACACATCAAGCTCGCATAGTGATAAACTGATGAACATGCAGATTAGACACTGGAATATACGTAAGCAAACGAATGGATTTATATTATCAATTGAGAGAAAACCCTTGCATTTTAGGTCACGCTATATTATCCATACCGAAATCGTTATCCAAGTTATCACAAAGAAAATCAATGTTAACAATTAGATTTGAATTGTTAACAATGTTAACAATTAGACTTTGAAATAGTTATTCTATATACATATAT